GCTAATCTGGGCAGAGACTACCCCTTGTTGTGTCCTTCCTTCTGCTTTCCGTACCTGGGATGAACAGAGTGGTATGTGAGTAAAGAAGTTTTCCATGCCACATGTATGGCATGATGTCATCACCAAATTATCTAAAGAGCATCTGCTCTCCCTCATAGCAGCTGTAATAGTCTAGAGCTTGCAGTCTCATGGACTGACCTGTGTTCCACGGTTTGGTTTTGAAGGCATCTCACTTTTTTCTCAGCATCATAGATTTAATGTGTATGCTGAAGAAGCCAACAATATTTTTTCCTCCCATTCACTGTGACAACTACTTTCAGCAAATCTACAATGAACTCTGCAATTGCAACAAAGGCTCCACATCTCTGAGGACAGAAATCACATAAAGACCTTAACGTGACAAGGTAAGTAGCACATGTATGTAAGTAGCACGTGTATATTACGTCAATAACCAGGGCAGACGGTAGACACTTGAATTCACAGAACAGATATCACAAACAGCACTACCCTGCTTCTCCTCTTTGTAACTGAATGCTCCCTAAACCTGCTCCCTCCCTCCACGTCTGCAGCACTGGATAGTCTCAAGCCTTTCCTCTTCTTTCTGAGATGTGGCTCTACCTCTCCCTCTGCCTTTGTTGGCCATTGTCTCAGTGGCCCCTTCTTATCTTTGGATCGTACCCAGAGGTAGCCTGGTTGCCATGGGAGATGAATGACCTGCAGCCCTCTTTCATCAACGTCCTTCCCCCATTAGCAAGACTTTTTTTTCCCAGAAACTAGGTCACTACAAGTCAGTAGCAAGGCTTGCTCAGATGTCTATCACAGCTACACATTCGAGTGCTTTATTCCCCCAAAAGCAAACAAAGCAAACGGGGACTTGGGTTCTACATTAGATATTGCGTAATGGAAAAAAGACGTCTCTTCCTACACGTACACTTCCATTTACAGACTGAAGCCGCAGTGGCTGCAATTTAATCTTTTTCTGGTTGAGCAGTTCTGCAATTTAAAGTTTATAAAGACCTGATTCTCCTGAGTCTGAACTGCATCCAAAGCAGGTTCCAGAAAATAGACTCCTTTCTTGTTACTCTTGATCCATAATTAGGTGGTAGAGCCAGTAATCCAGGAATTCAAATCCAACCTCACCTGCACAATCAACAATTTACTTGACAGCGATTCCAACTGTAGGTTCCAATATAAAGTCACTTATCCATAGGATAAACTAGTTCACCTCTGAATTGACAGGAAGCAGGGTGGCAGCAAAGGAACTCAGCTGCTCAAGGAAAGTTATAAAAACACCAGACCAATGAAACAGGCAGTTCTGTGTCCCAACTCAGAGCTGCTGATCACCCTGAGAAGATAAAATCTGAGACTCCCACATGGAAGGGTTACTGCATTTAAACAGCTTAACCTACTTTGTTTCATTCACAAACTTTTTCACAGCTAATTTATTTTCCTTTTTAGGATATCACCATGACTCACTTTGTGAGTACTTATTCTTTATACTTTTTTATTTTTTGTTTCAGGTACATTTCAGGCCACTGGGAAAGATAACATCAAAAAAGTCCTGAAGGCAACTCCTCCGTGCCGTGCAATGTGACAAAGTTGTAGTCCTCTTACCTGCTCCTCCTGCTAGTTTCTGTAGCACGGGGGGCCATGTTGAAAAAGCAGGGAGAAGATCTGGATAGACCCACAGCATGTACACTGTCCCAAAACAGAAACAAATTTAAAGATGCATCATTAAAAACTTCTCTAGCTGTTGCTTCTTCCCATCTTTAAGACTAAGCAGTACAATACTAACCACAACTGTTACTCGGTAATCAAGAAATCCGAAGTCAGAACAATCCCACAATAATTAGTAGATGTGATGGAGAAAAATAAACTGCTAGTTAATTCAAGCTCCTGTGAATTGTTATAAAGGATACAGATAAATGTTTGCATTATTTTCCTTAAATCAAGGACACTGAGCTAAAATGCTACTCCAATAGGGAAGAATTGCTGGGTATGGGAAAAATAAAAGCATAGAATATCAGAGCAACTCATAGCCTAATTCCAGGGCTGCCTGGAAGTGGCCATCATGCTTCTTGGAATTACACCTTGCAGTGGACGAAAGAGAGAAAAGGGGCTAAGATGCTAAACTATGACTTAAAAGACTTGTTTCCTGGTTTCTAACCCCTCAGCACCTCAGTCTCCTTTTTTGCAGAAGGAATCCAGAAATGCCACTGATTTCACAAAGATATCGGCAGAATAAATGCATTCAAGATTAAGAAGTGTACCGATACTACAGTTATAGGATAAGTACTTAAGACAGACACAAGGAAATCTTTTGGGGAAAGGCTGGCACCCAGTAAGTAAAGAGGGAGGATTATTCTAGTCCACTCCCCATACCTGTGGGATACAGAGCTTTCTCAATTTCAAACAGTATTGGGTTCCTGTTATTCACGTAAACAGTGACGGCCTCCCCTTTGTGAGAGTATATTTTGATGACATTAAGCTCTTCCTTGTTTGGAATAAACTCAGTCAATTGTTCAGCACTAAGGTTAGGAAAAGCTGCTGCAACATCAGTTCGTAGTTTTCTCCTGTAATGATAAAATTACAAATGTGTTACAAAGCTGTCTAGACCATCCTTCAAAATCATTCCTAGATCGGTAGTTACTGTTTTGTTGGCTGTTCATGAGATTCCCACTTTTTCACATAAGATAATTTGAAGCATTCGTGTCCAGGTTTACAAATGAGATAGTGGCATGCTGGAAGAATACTGGGAGATAGGCCAAGTATGCTTGGCTGCTCGTACTCTTCCTTAAACAGGGGCTTACAGCTCCTGTTGCTGCCTTTGCCTCTGTTTCGCACTGGGATTTCATCACTGCTCTGAGCTCCTGAGCACAAATCTGGGAGCGTCAGCCGTGCTCAGCCCAGCCTGTGGCGTACGGACTCCTGCAGCTCCGGCACGGAGGAGCGGGGCTGCAGCCAGATTTCCCTCTCCCCCCAGTTTTAACCGATGTTTACGACATGGTGACCGGCACAAGGTGGGCTCGTCGTTCACAGACGTGTCAAGTGAATTTAAAAGACCGGCAAGTCAGCCTAGCATCCCTACACAAGAACAGAACAGTAACATCAGCTAGGCCTCGATATAATGATTCATTTAAGTCTAGTTTAATTGTGGCAGCACCTTCAAACGAAAAGCGCGTTTCGTATTCAGACCGGTTGCTCACGTTTATCGCAAATCCAAGGCGCGGGCAGCCACCGCTCCCTGCCTGCCCCGAGGCCCCGTCGCTGCGGGGGGGGCGCACG